GCAGTTTCTCTGTATAGCCCTGGCTGTCCTGGAACTTCCTCTGTAGACCAGACTGGTCTTGAACTAAGAGATGTCTATGCCTCTGCCTCACACATGCTAGGATTAAAGTTGTGCACCACCACTGACTGGATGAAGTTGATTTATAACCTAAAATATAATTAATATTTATAAATGTTCCAACTATTCAGGGGAAGGGGAACACATCAACAGGATCTCACTACATAGACGTGGGTGGCTTAGTATTTGCTCTGTAGACCAGACTTGCTTCAAACTCACAGAGATCCTCCTGCTCCTGCCGCCTAAGTATTGGGATTGAAGGCAGGTGCCGGGTTCCCAGGCAAATGCTCCAACTTTTTTGTTTGTTTGTTTTTTCGAGACAGGGTTTCTCTGTGTAGTCCTGGCTGTCCTGGAACTCACTCTGTAGACCAGGCTGGCCTTGAACTCAGAAATCCGCCTGGCTCTGCCTCTCAAGTGCTGGGATTAAAGGCGTGCACCACCACCCCCCGTCCTTTTTTTTTTTAATGTTTTTTTTTAAAGATTTATTTATTTATTATATATGAATACACTGTAGCTGTCTTCAGACACACCAGAAGAGGGCATCAGATCTCATTACAGATGGTTGTGAGCCACCATGTGGTTGCTGGGATTTGAACTCAGGACCTCTGGAAGTGCAGTCAGTGCTCTTAACCACTGAGCCATCTCTCCAGCCCCCGCTCCAACTATCAAGATGGCCCTGGGAAGTCAGCTTAGCTATTAAGATCAGTTGCTGCAGTTATGAGGACCAGACTTCGGGTCCCAGCTCCCAGGTAATCAGCTGGGGCGTCTTGCACATGCCTGTGTAACTCAGGCTCTGAGGGATTCAGCTGCCTTTGTGGAGGTGTAGATTTGAGTAGCCTCACACACAGCTGCACACACAGGCAGACAGCCATGCACACACAAAAATAAACAAATAGACACTTTCAAGAGGGCTTGGGGCTTAAGCCCAGCGGTAGACCTCTTGTTTAACACTTGAGAGAGACCCTGCTTTAGTCCCTGGTCAGCAAAGAAACACTGGGAAAAGATGAAATTTGACTTCTTAGGTGTGAGGCCCCCTGTTGTGTGCATGACAGAACTCTGTGAACTACTCTGTGTTCTTCTCTGGAGGAACAAGCAAGCTTTTTTTTTTTTTTTGGTTTTTCGAGACAGGGTTTCTCTGTGTAGCCCTGGCTATCCTGGAACTCACTCTGTAGACCAGGCTAGCCTCGAACTCTTGAACTCAGAAATCCGCCTGGCTCTGCCTCCCAAGTGCTGGGATTAAAGGCGTGCGCCACCACCGCCTGGCCCAACAAGCAAGCTCTTAATTGTTGAATCATCTCTCCAGCCTGAGAGTCCCTTCACACCCACCAGACAGGGTCTTGTGTAGTTCAGGCTAGCTTCTATGTAGTGCAAGGATGGCCATGGAATTTGATTTCCAGCCTCTATGTTCCAAGCACTGAAATGATGAGAACGAGCCGCCATGACAGGTGCAGTCAATGCAGGGAGTCCAAACTAGGTCTTCATGCATGCCAGCCACACACACTCGACCAGCTGAGCTATGTTCTAGCCTTAAAAATCTTCCCATTCGGGGAGCTGGAGAGATGGCTCAGCAGTTAAGAACACTTGTTGCTCTCACAGAAGAGGGGGTAAGATTCCCAGAGTCTGGGTGTGGCTCACAACTACCTGGAACTCCAGTTCTAGAGAAACATTGCCCTCTTCTGACCCCAAGGGTACTGCGTGAGCACCATGCACAGATAGGCTGGCAAAGCACCTGTACAACATAATGTTTAAAAATAAACGGATAAATAGAATGATTAAAAAAAAAACACATTGAAAACTTTATAGAGGGGGGCTGGAGAGATGGCTCAGTGGTTAAGAGCACTGACTGCTCTTCCAGAGGTCCTGAGTTCAATTCCCAGCTACCACATGGTGGCTCACAACCATCTGTAATGACATCTAATGCCCTCTCTGGTGTGTCTGAAGACATTGACAGTGTACTAACATGCATAAAATAAATAAATCTTAAAAAAAAACTTTATAGAGGCTAAAATTCAAATGTAATATCATTTCCCCTTACCAAAATACGATCTTCAGCCCAGGCACAGTGGCATCTGTTTGTCCCAGCATTCTGGGCGCTGAAGCAGAGTAGTCTAGACAACACTGGGAAACTGGTTAAAAACAAAGAAAAAAAGCGAGGTGCGGAGAGAGAAAGGAAAGAGGAGTGGGAGCGGAGCTGATTTTATAGTTCTGATTTTTCCCCCAATTCTCTAACAATTGTAATAAAAGAATTCTTTGCCTACAGGTCACGGTAAAACAAGCATGCGGCCTAGCAGCAGCAAGTAGTGGCCTGCTAATCGCTGTTTTAGCTGGCCACTCTCCAACAGCTTCTATCAGATCAAGAATCAACGGTATCTTAGCAACAATGGTGGTTGCAGCTGCTCCTGGGACTCAGGCACCTGGAGGCTTAGGGGGGTTTAAGGCTGTCTCTAGGGGCCCTCCCCACCCTTCATGGCCACCTGCAGCCGTTTATAACCGAGCCCCAGCCTGCAGGGCTACGTTTGGTGCCCACACTCCTCCCTTCCTGAAGGGCTTCCTTTATAGGTCACTAGGAATCTCCTGGCTTTTTTTTTTTTTTTTTAATCTTCTGGGAGCAGACCTCTGCACTACCCTGACTCTACAGGTCCTAAACCTGTCTCTTTCCTTAGGACACCCAGGTTCATCCTTGGGTTGTTAAGGGCCCAAATGGGCTGAGGGTTCTATGTACTTCTTAGTACCCTCAAGTAAGGCTCAGGGCTTGGACCTGGGAGTGTCAGTCAGCGGAAGGAGGTCGGAGCTTCAGGATACAGGCAGAGGTTTCTCAGACTGCCGACTCAAGTCCTACATGCTAGACAAGCATTCTACTACTGAGCTATCTCTCCAGCCCTCCTCCCCTCCTTTTCAAAATTACTATTTAAAAAAAAAAAACAAAAAACAAAAAACCAAGCCAAGCAGTGGGCGGTGGTGCCAGCCTGGTCTACAGAAAGAGTTTCAGGCCATCCAGGGCTACACAGAGAAACCCTGTCTTGAAAAACCCAGAGTGTTACTATAATACCGGTCTGGTCTATAGATCAAGCTCACAGCAATCCACCTGCCTCTGCCTCCTAAGTGCTGGATTTAAGGCAACCACTTCTTTTTCTTTTATTATTTTAGGGTTTAGAGAAACAACTCAGCAGTTGAGAGCACTTAATACCCTCCAGAGGACCCCAGGTTGACTTCCAGTGCCCAGATCTTGTAGCTCGTAACTGCCACTGACTCCAGCTCCAGGGAATTGAAAGTCCTTTGGCTTCTCAACACACACTCTCACACACAGTTTGAGTACACACACAAGTTCAAAAATTATTTTATCATTGTGTGTGTGTGAGATAAGGGTGGGTGCATGCCATGGCACATTGAAAGCCACATGACAAGTTTGCTCCTTATGTGGGCTCCATGACTCAAACCAGGTCATCCCTATTTGTGCTGCAAACGTATTTACTCACTGAACTATCTTACCAGCCCTTCTTCTTCTTCTTTTTTTTTTTTTTCTGAGACAGGATTACCAGCCCTTCTTTAAAAATAATTTGTTAGTTGAGCAGTGGTGGCACATTCCTTTAAACGCACCTTAGCGCTCAGGAGGCAGAGGCAGGAGGATATCTGTGAGTTCAAGGCCAATCTGGTCTACAGAATGAGTTTCAGAATAGCCAAGGCTATACAGTGAAACTGTCTTGAAACGCCATAAAAATGAATAGTTATTAAGTTTTCTGTGTGTGTGCATTTCCTGGAGCTGGAGTTACCCGGTTGTGAGCTGTCTGGGGTGTGTGCTGGGAATGGAACTTGGGTCCTCTGGGAGAGCAGTAGGTGCTGGGCCATCTCTGTAATTCCCAGGCCTTTTATAAAAAGAGATCTTATCACCGGGCGGTGGTGGCACACGCTTTTAGTCCCAGCACTTGGGAGGCAGAGGCAGGAGGATTTCTGAGTTCAAGGCTAGCCTGGTCTACCGAGTGAGTTCCAGGACAGCCAGGGCTACATAGAGAAATCCTGTCTCGAAAAACCAAAAAACAAAACAAAACCGGGGCAGACATATGCACCACACCAAGGTAAAAGGAATCTCTAGGTTGATGCAAAATGATGCTTCAGCTTTAACACAGCAGGACCTCACTGTTAGCCTGCGCTGGCCTGCGATGCACACTCCCGTCTCGCCCCGTGCTGGAACTACAGGTGTGCTCCGCAGCTACCAAGCTCAGTAAGCTTTTCCCAACTGAGAAAGTCCCAGGAAGCTGCTGAGAAGCCTTGGTCCTGTCACTGCTGGGAGCAGCCCAAGGGAAACTTGTGCCGAGGAGAGGCTCCTGGCCTGCTTCAGACTTGGGTCCTGGCAAGAGACCCAATGCTCCAATCTCCATTCCACTTTCGGAACAGGAACGACTCTGGGTTTAGTGACCCCACTATTCACCTAGTCCTTCATTTTCCTGTCCACGAAATGGATAGAGTAGCTTTTTTTTTTGTTTGTTTGTTTGTTTTTGTTTTTTTGGAGACAGGGTTTCTCTGTATAGCCCTGGCTGTCCTGGAACTCACTCTGTAGACCAGGCTAGCCTCGGAACTCTCGAACTCAGAGATCCGCCTGCCTCTGCCTCCCAAGTGCTGGGATTAAAGGTGTGCACCACCACCGCCCGGCTGATAGATTAGCTTTCAACTATTCAGAGGCCAAGGAGAGGCAGTCAGTGCTGTTTGTGAACTAGGGAATCCAGGGCTTGGTAGGTCCCGGGGAAACACTCTACCCAGAGATCAGCTAGGCTCCTTTTGCTGAGAGAAGGTATGCGTGTTGAAGTTTCTGCTTTTAGTTTATGGATCCTAGGGCCTTTCGAGCAATCCAATCCACTGTCTTCACATACATTGATTTGTTTATGGGCTTCATACACACACACACACACACACACACACACAATTAAGGAGAGGATAACAGTGCAGGATGAAGTGGACAGAGGCAAAGAAGAAAGCAACTACTGTTTAACAATGAATGCACTCTTAGGATGTATGCAAGCAAGGAACAAAGGTGAGGGGCGGTGGTGCGGGGACCCAGGCCAGTGTGAGCTAAGGGAGCAGAGAATATTTACAGAGCGCTGAGTGGCCATTCTTTCCAGGAGGGTTCATCGGTCTAACAAGCTTCCAGATGCGGCCTAGGAAAAAGGCCAGGCTGAAGGGCAGGCAAGGCATGGCGGGCCACCTTAAGAACAGAAGCACTGGCACAACTCGGTTCTGGCTCCTGGAACTGGGCCAGCCCGGTGAACAGCATCTTCATGTGGATGCCCAGAGCTCCCGCTAATCTGCAAAGACGGGGACCTCCTCCTCTCTAGGTCCAAAGAGCTGCAGTAGGGAAGAGGGTTAGAAAAGCGAAACCAGCTTGAGAAACAGCTTGTGCTCGCAAAGGGAGGGAACACGTCCCCGAGCGCCGTGGACGTGGGCGACCGGGGAGGCTGCGGGGTGGGAGTGTTCTACCCAGTACCATTCGGTTTCTGGTCTCTGTTCACGGAAAAGTGTCCGCAGTCACTCACCCCCATCCCCCAGCCTCCGTGCCCTGTGACCGATCCGGGTCAGCCATCCCTCCCTCTGCGCTCCACACCCCCACAATAATGTGACCCTCCCAGGGCCACGCTTAGAGGGTCGTCCAACCGTGGCCCACGGTACGGAGACATAGGAAAAATATCTTCCCGGGTTAAGATCGAGGCAGAAAAAACCAGCCTGGCGAACGGCGGTGAAGACACTGCCCCCCGCCGCAGCAGAGGAGGTGGAGCCTCGTGGGGAGGGGCCGAGACCGCCGAGACAGGCCTAGAAACTGCTGGAAGGAATCGCAGCACCGCCGCCGCTGCTCCTTCCGCCGCAGGCCGCCAAAGAGTCCCTGCCAGCCCAGGCCCGCGCCCCTCCCCTCGGAGAAGCTCCACGCCGCCTTCAGCTGTGCTGTACCCGGGAGGGTGGGGGTCGGGGTGGGAGAACTCCTTAAAGTTGGGACAAGGAATTTATCATCCGCCTTTCCTCTTGATGTGCGATTTGTAGGGAACATTCTAGTAAGATCGGGTCTGGACATGGCAGCCGAGTTGGCCACCTCCATTCTCTTTCAGACGTCCCCTGAGTACTGGACATTGGGGTGGGGGGGTGGAAGAGCCTACCTCGAGTTTTCTGAGGCAGTCCGTAGGGTATTCACCCGCAGATACACCCCTAATAGCATATGCATGCATGCTCCCGGACCATCTTGAGGGGGACATGCCCTACTCATGCAGAAATGGGGGTGCAAAACGGTGTTAATTCGGCCTTGACTCGCAGGCCGGGCCCCAGGTCCCTCCTCCCCACCACCTCCACGATCTGCGACAATGACGTCAAGGTGGGCGGGCGGCGGCAGGTGCGTGGCTGGCAGCCACTCCTTTAAGGCGGAGGGATCCAAGGGCGGGGCCTGGGCTGTGCTTCGCCTTATATAGGGCGGTCGGGGGCGTTTGGGAGCTCTCTTGAGTCACCCCCGCGCAGCCTAGGCTTGCCGTGCGAGTCGGACGTGGTCCGGGCCCACTACCCTGCTCTCTACTACCACTCGGCTTTCCCGTCAAGGTAAGGCCGCGGTCTCCCGTGCCCGGCGGCTCCCGGGGCTTCTCCCCGGGGTTCCTGCCTCCTCCATCTCATCTATCCTAAAGGGTCCTTTCCCGGCCGGCCGGCCTGTGGGGATAGCGTGCCTAGAATGTCTCCAGGTCCCCGTGGTGGCTCCCGGCGGGCTTGCACGGCGAGCCTGCCCCGGGGCGGGTGGGTTCCCCCAGAGCGTGAGGTGGGGCTGCGGCCCGGCCAGGTGGTGGGCGGCCGCACGTGGTAGCCACCGACCCGGGACGCTGCCATGTTTGCCCTCCACTTCCGGGCGCGGCTGCAGGGTCCGTAGGGTCCGCGCGGTGGCGGGCTGCTGTGCGTGACTCAGCAGAGCCTGGCGAGCAGGGCCCGGCCACCTCCCCCGACGCCTTTCCCAACGTGCTTGGTTTAGGGGAAGGGGAGGGGGTCCTCGGGTTGGCAGGGACGCCGGAACCCGCTGCGTTTTCCCTTTCCAGATCTTTCTGCGTTTTCAGTTGTGCAGGGAGGAGAAACGGGGAGGGAGTAGGCACGGGAAGATTCGTAGGTCCCTCCCCTCGTTTACTCCTCCCCTCCCGGGAGCTCAGATTGTTCTGGAAGCCTGGGCGCCCCGCCCCAGTGCCCGGATGCTTGGGCGGTGGGAGGGCTTTCAATGGCGCCCCCTCCTCGTGTGGCTCCTGCCGACGCATGTCCGGCAGTGACGAGGGTCGCTGGGCGGCAGGGCCACCATTTTACTTGTGTTCCGGCCTGTGCAGCTCTGCGCAGTGAGTGGAGTCGTGGTGGAGATTTTTATTTCTTTGTCCTAATTTAATTGTCCCTTGAGCGCCTCCACGACTACAGCTTCGGGTTCTCTTGCCCTGCTGGCTGGAACGGCACAAATTTGTGTATGGGAGGCTGCTAGTTAAAGTTGTTCCTCACCCCGGTGAAGAGATTGTAGTGAAGGAATGTATGTATGTACCGGGGTTCTTAATGTTAGTTACTTCATTCTGTATTTTTACCATATCGGCAGGTGTTCTGTTCAGAGCCAGCGAGCCGTTCAGAAAGTCTTGACTTTTGGGCATTTGTTTGAAAAAAAAAATCTCATCCTTGATTTGTCTTGTCACTCTAGTCTCGAAGCCCTTTTTAAAAATGTCGGCTCTTATCTCTTGGGAGTGTTGGGAATGGACGCTACCCAGATTAAAGAAGTTTGAACTGAAGTATAAAATGTGAGTCAACAATAGCCGTTTGGTAATCTCTCATCTTTAGATGCCTGAGGAAGTGCACCATGGAGAGGAAGAGGTGGAGACCTTTGCCTTTCAGGCAGAAATTGCCCAGCTGATGTCTCTCATCATCAACACTTTCTATTCAAACAAGGAGATTTTCCTCCGGGAGTTGATCTCTAATGCTTCTGATGTGAGTATTCTGTTGAATTTCTGAGACTGCCCACAAGTGTGTGTAACACTGGCAGTGGGAGTGGTTGAGAAGAGTAATCCCGCAGTTGATGTTGGAGGGAAGGGACTGCTTGGACAAATGGAGTGATGTGTCTGTTTAATGTGTACACACAGGCCCTGGACAAGATTCGGTATGAGAGCCTCACAGACCCTTCCAAGCTGGACAGCGGGAAAGAGCTGAAAATTGACATCATCCCCAACCCTCAGGAGCGCACGTTGACCTTGGTGGACACTGGCATTGGCATGACCAAGGCTGACCTCATTAATAACTTGGGAACCATTGCTAAGTCTGGCACAAAGGCCTTCATGGAGGCTCTCCAGGTGTGTGGCCATTTGTTACTGCTTTTTGTCTAGGATATGTGGTTGGTTTTCTAATAAGTACATGGGGAGGTCAGAGGATAGCTTTGACCCCTAGATTCTGGAAATTGAACTGACTGGTACCCGTGCTTAGCAGTGGTTGTACTTGTACAAGAACCAGTTTGCTGACCTTAACATTTACTCCCTTTGCAGGCTGGTGCAGACATTTCCATGATTGGCCAGTTTGGTGTCGGCTTCTACTCGGCCTACCTTGTGGCAGAGAAAGTGGTTGTGATCACAAAGCACAACGACGACGAGCAGTATGCCTGGGAGTCTGCTGCTGGCGGATCCTTCACCGTCCGTGCTGACCATGGTGAGGCGGCAGTCTGCACTGCTTGGTAGAACTCAAGAAACCTTAAGCATTGTAGTCACTAAAAGTTCATTTTTGAGGGGTGGTGAATACTAGCACTTGGGAAATGGCCAGGTGGGTGTGTCAGCAAGGGCTACACGGAGAAATCTTAGCAGATTAGTCCTTGGTTGAGTCTTTTTGTTGTAGTTTTTCATGTCGTGTGATTTCTTCTCTGTAGGTGAGCCCATTGGCCGGGGTACCAAAGTCATTCTTCACCTCAAAGAAGACCAGACAGAGTATTTGGAGGAGAGGAGGGTCAAGGAAGTGGTGAAGAAGCACTCCCAGTTCATAGGCTACCCCATCACCCTCTACTTGGAGAAGGAGCGAGAGAAGGAGATCAGTGATGATGAGGCAGAGGAAGAGAAAGGTGAGAAAGAGGAGGAAGAGAAGGATGATGAGGAAAAGCCAAAGATTGAAGATGTGGGATCTGATGAGGAGGATGACAGCAGCAAAGATAAGAAAAAGAAAACAAAGAAGATCAAGGAGAAGTACATTGACCAGGAAGAGCTGAACAAGACGAAGCCTATCTGGACCAGAAACCCAGATGACATCACTCAGGAGGAATATGGTGAATTCTACAAGAGCCTCACCAATGATTGGGAAGACCACTTGGCAGTCAAGGTGAGAAGCCTTCCATGTTTTGTAAGGAGGGATGCATAGGCTGGAAGTGGTAAGGAACAACTTGCTCAACTGGTTGGTAGCTGAGAACTGAAAGCCACAGAACCATGTGACTACCCTGGGAGCTACTCAGATCTGATTGGCAGTGGCTTCACATTCTCCTTTCTGGTGAGAATTGGGGTGGTGGCCATATCTGAACACTGGATTACTCTTCTCAATCACTCCTACTGTCATGGCCACCACCTTGATTACAGCCATGGTTCTGCTTGGAGGGACACTTCTTGCTGCCAGCATTCTAGGTTTATTTGGTGTTAGGGCTGTTTGCTTATCCTGTGTTTCAGGAGTATGGCACTGACAGTGCTCTAGTGTCAGATGTTTGATATTGGGGCTTGAAGCAGTCCTGTCCTAAAATGTATTACTGGGTTTATTTCAGCATTTCTCTGTAGAAGGTCAATTGGAATTCAGGGCATTGCTCTTCATTCCCCGGCGAGCTCCCTTTGACCTTTTTGAGAACAAGAAGAAGAAGAACAACATAAAATTGTACGTCCGTCGTGTGTTCATCATGGACAGCTGTGATGAGCTGATCCCTGAGTACCTCAGTGAGTAGCTCCTGGGCTCGGGGTGTGCAGGACAGGCAAACCCATCTTAGACCTCAGCATATAGCTGAGACTCCCTGATCCAGAGTCTCTGTGGCTTAGACCAGCTCTGATCCAGCTGTTCCCTGCTTTCTGTCTGGTTCATCGCAGACTTTATCCGTGGTGTGGTTGACTCCGAGGACCTGCCTCTGAACATCTCCCGAGAAATGCTCCAGCAGAGCAAGATCCTGAAAGTCATCCGCAAAAACATTGTGAAGAAGTGCCTTGAGCTCTTCTCAGAGTTGGCTGAAGACAAAGAGAACTACAAGAAGTTTTATGAGGCGTTCTCCAAGAATTTAAAGGTAAGATGAATAAGTGCTCTCTAAATTATTTTGTATTTGGGGTGTTGTTGTTTTTTTCCAGTTCATAATTGGACTCTTTCTTTCCCTGCCCTTAAAGCTTGGAATCCATGAAGATTCCACGAACCGTCGCCGCCTCTCTGAGCTCCTTCGCTATCACACCTCTCAGTCTGGAGATGAGATGACTTCCCTGTCAGAGTATGTGTCTCGCATGAAGGAGACACAGAAGTCCATCTACTATATCACTGGTATGTTGGAGCTTGGGTCTGGTCAGAGCTGCCTTGTGGACTTGGGGGATTGGGAAGTGGCGGTGTGGAGGCCTTTCTGGCCATTGAGTCATATTTTATTCCTATAGGTGAGAGCAAAGAGCAAGTGGCTAACTCTGCCTTTGTGGAGCGTGTGCGGAAGCGGGGCTTTGAGGTGGTTTATATGACTGAGCCTATTGATGAGTACTGCGTGCAGCAGCTCAAGGAATTTGATGGAAAGAGCCTGGTCTCAGTGACTAAGGAGGGCCTGGAGCTACCAGAGGATGAGGAAGAGAAGAAGAAGATGGAGGAGAGCAAGGCAAAGTTTGAGAATCTCTGCAAGCTCATGAAGGAGATCTTGGACAAGAAGGTTGAAAAAGTGAGTCTTCTGGGAAGACTGTATAGCTGTATATATCTGTATATATCTGCTGTATAGCTAGTGGTGCCAGGCAGGCCAGACATCAGCAATAGTCTGTCTTTGGTTAAAAAAGTTTCTACACACAAACAGTAATTCATGCATGAAAAGGCCTTGCTGTGTTGCCCAGGTTATCTTTGAATCCTTGTACTCAAGCCACTTTCAGCCTCCTGAGGATGTAGGGTTTAGTAGTCATCTGCCTGCCATTCTTTCCTAACAACCCAAGATACTTTACATAGCCAAATGTACATCTTGTCATTGTTCTTGGTTGCCCACAGGTGACAATCTCCAATAGGCTTGTGTCTTCCCCCTGCTGCATTGTGACAAGCACCTATGGCTGGACAGCCAACATGGAACGGATCATGAAGGCTCAGGCACTTCGAGACAACTCTACAATGGGCTACATGATGGCCAAGAAACACCTAGAGATCAACCCTGACCACCCCATTGTGGAGACCCTGCGGCAGAAGGCCGAGGCGGACAAAAACGACAAAGCTGTCAAGGATCTGGTCGTGCTGCTGTTTGAAACTGCCCTGCTCTCCTCTGGTTTCTCACTTGAGGATCCCCAAACCCACTCGAACCGCATCTACCGCATGATTAAACTGGGCCTGGGTGAGTCTGGCTTGGGAGCTCCAGGTGGCAAGTGTTGAACTGGCTGGACCCTTGGGCAGACTTAATGTGGCTTAAATCTCATGTTTTTTTTTAGGCATTGATGAAGATGAGGTCACTGCGGAAGAGCCCAGTGCTGCTGTTCCTGATGAGATCCCCCCACTGGAAGGTGATGAGGATGCCTCTCGCATGGAAGAAGTGGATTAAAGGCTCCCAGCAACCCCTGCCCTCTGTATAGTATCCCTGCGGCTCCCCCAGCAGCCTTGACTGGCCCTGACCCACTGGCTCATGTCTACAAGAATCTCCTATCCTGTCCTTGAGCCTTAAGGCAGGAAGATCCCCTCCCACAGAATAGCAGGGTTGGGTGTTGTGGATTGTGGTTTTTTGTTTGTTTTATTTTGTTCTGAAATTAAAAGTATGCAAATAAAGAAGATGCAGTTTTATACAGTCCTGCTCTCCTTGTAAAGTAACACTCAGGACTCCCTGAGTTGTGTTGAAGTGGTGATGAGAGGTACTTGTCTACTTTGAACTCAGAATAATCCTAACACCTTTATCCCAGCACTTGGGAGGCAGAGGCAGGCAGATTTCAAGGCCAGCCTGGTCTACAGAGTGAGTTCCAGGACAGCCAGGGCTACACAGAAACCCTATCTCCAAAATCCAAAAAAAAAAGGGGGGTAATCCTAACACCCTTTGAGCCCCCTTCAGCCAACCAAAACACAGCTATAAAGTCACTGCTGCAGTTTAATCAAATAAGAGCAAAGGGTGACACTTCCAAGTACCAAAACCTGCTCAAGTAACACTGGACCCCAACTGGTCTGGGGAGGCCTTTGTCCTTTCTGACACAGCACCATCCTCAACAGCCCCTAGGGGAACTGTATGGCCTGTAAACAATGCTCTTCCCAGCTGGTGCCTGGCAGCCTCAAGGGATGGGTGTTAGAGGGAGTAAGCAAAGCCCTGGTGCTGGCTGGCCTGGCCACCAGTTAAGATTTCAGAGAGTGGGGGAGGAGCTCTGGGTCACCTCTAACCCAACACCCACAGCTCATTTCCATGAAGTGGGGCTCTTAAGGCAAGGTGAAAGAGGCTGCTCCCCAGGGCTCCAGTCCTCAGCTGTAAGCTGAGGTACTGAGCCGGGGCCTCAGAAGATGGGAGTAATGAGGGTCCTTACTCCTCACACCTTCTGCACTGGAGGCTCAGTGGGCACAGCCTTCTTTCCGCGCTGCTTCCGGCCCCTGGCATAGACTCTGAGTAGCAGGGCAGTGAAGACCACAGCCACACCCAGTCCCCCCACCACAGTGACAGTATGGCCATAGAGGAGGCAAGAGAGGAGGATGGCAATAGCCTGGCGCAGAGTCATGATGATAGTGAAGACAGCAGCTCCAAACTGTCCGATGGTGTAGAAGATGAACAGCTGACCAAAGGCAGAGCAGACAGACAGGAGGAGGGCGTGCAGTGCAAACTCACTGTGTCGCCCCATGAAGCGTGCCCCCTCCAGTAGGGCCCCCTGTTCCAGTAGTGACCCTACTGTGAAAAGACAGGAGAATAAATTGACCCCAAACATCATCTGCACCGATGACATCTTATAGGCAAACAGAGCATCCTGCCAGTTTGAGGTGAAGCTGTCGAAAGCGATATAGCCTGCCAGTAGGACCAAGCCAGAGAGTGTGGTGGCTGGAGAGCTCCGGGGCTCTGGTCCACTCGACAGAAGAAACATGCTAACTCCAATGGAGATGAGGCCAGCAGTCAGATATTCCCAGTGTTCATAGCTGCGCCGAGACACCAGCTTGCCCATCATCATGACAGGAATCACCTTGGAGGCCTTCGCCAGCACCTGGGTAGGGAAGCTGACAAACTTGAGTGCTTCATATTGGCACCAGCTGCTAAGCACGTTTGACAGACTGGCAAAGGAGTACCGGTACATGGGTGCACCGTGACGGGGCTGCTTGCGTAGGACACAGTAGAGGCCTGCCACGACCAGTGCCAGCACACGGTTCATTAGCACCAGGAACTGTGAGTCTGTGAAATGCTCGCCCGGTGATGTGGCTGTGGCCCCATAGCTGCCGGTCATCACTCTTTCCTGCAGTACACCCCAAGTCAGATAGGACACCTGCATGAGGGAGGGTGGAAAACAGCGACAGGAAATGAGAAGGAAAGGCTGAGGGCTGGAGAGATGGCTCAGTGGTTAAGAGCACTGACTGCACTTCCAGAGGTCCTGAGTTCAAATCCCAGCAACCACATGGTGGCTCATAGCCATCTGTAATAAGATCTGATGCCCTCTTCTGGTGTGTCTGAAGACAGCTACAGTGTATTCAGAAATAATAAATAAATAAATATTTTAAAAAAAAAAAAAAAAAAAAGAAAAAAAAGAAAAAAAGAAAAAAAAAAGAGAAGGAAAGGCTGAGGTCTCGATTTCCCGCTTCCTTGGAGTTGGTTGCATGTGATGTAACTGACACTAACTAGTCTTTTGGTTCCTCTGAGGGAGGAGCTTCTTTCCTAAGCTTCAGTTCACCTTGTGGGGAATCAAATGGAGTTGCAGGCACCGGGGCACCTGCTTTAAGACCACACCCTGTCTACCTTCATGATGCAAGCCCATTAGAGCTGGCTCAATATACCACCGAAAATGTTTTACTTATTTTGAATTAACGCAAAAAAGAAATTGGAATGTCTGGAAGCCTCAGAGAGGTCTGGATACTTGTAATTCAACATATATTCCACTCTGAATGCCTCCCTCACAAAGAAATCCTACTGACAAAATTTTGGAGAAAGCCAAGCATGGTAGCACACACTGTCACCCCAGCTATTTGGAAGGAAGAAGCAGGAGGGATGGCAGTTCAAGGCCTGCATCTGGAGGTGGTGGCACATGCCTTTAACCCCAGCACTCTGGAGGCAGAGGCATTTGGATCTCTGATTTTGAGGCCAGCCTGGTATAGGCGGCAAGTTTCAGGACAGCCAGAGCCACTCAGAGAAACTGTGTCTGGAAAAGCAGAAAAGAAAAAAGTAAATTCAAGGCCTGTCTGAGCCTGTGAGATTCTGTCAAAACAAGAGTTGTGGTGGGTTAATCCCAGCTCTTGCAGAGCAGGTGGATCTCTGAGCCGGAGGCCAGCCTGTTCTACATAGTGAGTTCTGGAGTAATTAGGGCTGCGTAGTGAAACCTTGTCTCAAAATAATATGTCTCAGAATAATAATAATAGCGGAAGCAGCTCAGGGGGATATAAGTTTAGCCAGTGATTCCTCAAACTCAAACTACGATACAGCATACAGAGCAGAATAAGGGCATAGGGGAAAAAAATACAATAACTCAGGCAGGGCTTCTCCCACACTGTATAAGACATCGCACGGGTTCGTGAGTGTGTACAATGAACTTTTATTTCAGTACAGGTGTTAAAGGAGGTACTGAAATGAAAGTTCGCTTTCAGGATGGGTCTGTGTCCTATAGGGACACAAACCATACCAAACCCAACAATTTGGGGTGGACAGGGCAGACTTGGTTTCATTAAGTCCCTGGCTGTCTGTACCCAGCTTGGGAAGAGAAGGAAAGCCTGTCTTCTTACCTGGAGCCCCGAGGCACAGAAGACCAGCTTTAGGACCTGCCAAGAGGGGGTGGATTCTGCTGTCTCTGTCCGGGGAGCCAGGGGAACCTCATCAGGAGCCTTGGGCTCATTGCCAAATACACAGGCTTTCACCAGGGGGAAGCAGAGACCCCTGCCTGAAGACGACACAGAAGTCAAGTCCACAGCTTCTCCAGAGCAGCCAGCCTGACCCCACTGTCTGACTTACTGGCCTCCCTCCCTTTCCAAGTCCCAACCTGCCAACACCTGCAACCGGACTTGTCTCCCCACCCTTTGGCCACATTACCTGTCTCCAGGTAGTTCTTCCGTCTTAAGTACTGCACCAGGAGGTAGCCAGGCACCATAAAGCTGGCATAGCCAGCCACATTCACCAAAAAGCGGAAGAGCCACAGCTGTGTCCAGGACTGCGGAGGGGCTTCGGGTGACTCTCCACCTGCTCCCAAGGAAGGGAGCGTGGCGAGTACCACTACTGCCCACCATCTGCTGGGACAGCCGAAGCCACGATCAGGGTTGCAGCTCTTCTGCCCCTCTGCCCTCCGGAGGGGACTGTACCAGGGGAAGTGCCCGGTGGCCTCCCCGCCCCCTCCGCTGCAGCCCAGAAGGACGGACAAAGAGCCTCTCTCTCCCTCTCTCTCTCTTGGGGGGTCCGGCGCAGGCCAGACAGAACCTCCTCCCTTCCCGGGGGCGGCCCCGCCTGTCCAGCCACATAGGTCGCCTCTGTTCCCTGCAGCGCGCGGCCAGCTCAGGCCACAGGCACCACCGCCCCCCCTTTCCCGCTCCGAAGAGTCACAGTCCCGCATCCCCACCGCGCGACAATCCCGAAGTCCCCCGAGGAGTGCAGGCCCCACGCCGCGTGCCCATCCACACCGGGCTCCCGATAGTGCCACGCGGATCCGCGGCTGGGAGACCCCCCCCCATCCCGCTACCCGAGCCCCGGGGTCTCGGTCACGTGGCCCCGGGGTCTCGGTCACGTGGGCCATGGCTGCCCGAGCCCCCCACCTGGCATCCATGGCCCAGCCGCGTGGGGCGGAGGGGCGGGGGGGACCGGGGAATGCGAGTCCCCGGGCCGAGCTCTCCCTCCGCTCCCTCTGCCGCCTGCTCCAGCAGCCAGCCAGTCAGCCAGCCAGCGGAAGTGCCGCACTCACTCTTCCCGCCTCCTCCCCGTCTCAGCCCCCCTTCGCGGCACCCCGGCCACAGCGCCCCCGCGCGGCCCGGAGGCAAACCCGGCCCGGGTCCCCCTGGGGAACTCCAATTGGGACCTTCTCCCTTTCCCAGCTTGAATAGTCTCAGCCATCAACCCAACCCATCCCAGACAGAGGGATGATGACTGTTGCCACCTAGTGGACTGGAATTTTGAGTATCTGAGACCCAAGTACTTCCCCTTATGTTAGTTTTCCCATTTTAAAATAATGATTGATGTCTCCTTCCTTTTTTTGGCTGCGGCAGTGATCATCCCCCTAGTACCTGTGAAGGTCCTTCAAAGTTCTGCATGACCTGGAGCGTCCTCCTCACCCACTTGCCCAACCTTGTGTCCCGTTGGCCTGTTTTCAGTTCCTTTAATTCACCGGAGGCCTTCCCCAATGCTGTCTTTCTCTTTGCTCATCTCGAATCCCGATTTCTAACGACCCCCGTCTGAAGCTTCCCAAAGAATGATCCTTCACCCACTCCATAGTCCTCCTTTCTGCCAAGTGTTTTTTTTTTTTTTTCCTTCCCGGCACCCATTGCAACGTATAACCGCATTATTTAGTTGTTTATGATTTTAATATCTATCTCACGCACAGGATGCGTTTGCTTAGCGCTTATAAGCGCTAAGCATCGGAAACTATGGTGGTTTATTTCTTCTCCTTCTTCATGCCAGTCACGGGCTTGACCTAGCAGGGCCCTCAGTGGAATGGGGGGGGGGGGGAAGTTGCAGCTCTCTTGTGCTCAACATCCCCAAGCTTCTCCAGGGATGTGTGCCTCAGCAATATTCTTCTTTCTCACTCTCCAGCCCTGGGCATTTCCACATGAAGGAGATGTGTCTGTGCTGGCAGGAAACCATCAGGCCTCCTACCATACCCAGCAAGGCCCTGCTCTTGCTCAGGGGGTCAGTTTCCTTCTCTCTGTCTTTACCTGGGAGTCACAGGTCAGGCCTGCCTATACATACAACTGTAGAAAGGAAACATTTTTTTTTAAAGCCTCTCTCTTCCATTTTAGTGTCATATTAGAATAAGTTCAAAGGTTCAGTTGGGAGCCTTATGTTTGAAGTCTTTAGATATCTGTATTTTTTCAGGCCCACTGCCACCAGACCTATAATTCCAGATACTCAGGAGGCTTGAGACAAGAGGATCCTGGTTCAAAGATGATTCCCTGGGCTATAGAGTGAGTTCCAGGCCATCTCATTCAACTCAGTGAGATCCTATCACAAAATAAACAATGAAAAGAGGGCAGGGACACAGCTCCATGACAGTAAGCTTGCCTACCACTGGGCTGGGGAGGCTCTAGGTTCAGACCCCAGTGTCAAACACACTCACAAAGGTATTCTAGGTAAGACCCCTCAGGGGTCTGTTTTCTCATCCCCTTTTCCTGGTGGCCGGCAAATTCAGCCCATGCCCTCTTTAACAGAAGGAAGGAGGCTTCCCTCAAGGATACCAATGGCTTTGAGGGTTTTTCAAGAATCTCCATCCAGGCCACCTGGGAAGTTCTTCTCTCCAGATTGGCTCTTCCACATTTGTAATCCTTCATCGTATTTTAGGACTACGCTAGCCCCAGGACTAGCATCAGCAGAAGGGCGACATTGCTTGGGTCCCAACTGCAGCAGCTTCGGCTCCAGCTTCCAGGTGGGAAGAGGTGGCGGTCCATCCTAGCTTCAGTCAGTACACAGCAGTGGCTTACCGGAGATTTTCAGGTCATCAAAGGGCAAATATGAAAGGAGCTGAGAGAGAGAACGGAGAGACGCAGAGTTAATGTCCTGAGTGATGGCAGTAGGGACCTGGGAAAGCTGAAGGCCAGATAGTGACACACCTGAGCACGGCAGAGAGAGACCCAAAGCTTTAGACAAGATCTGAAATAGAACATGCAGAACATCTGAGCTAGGAATGACCTCAGAGCCCAGTCCATGGCTTATTTGTGTGTGTGTCTGTATGTGTGTGTGGGGAGGGTTGTTGTTGGGGTTAGGGTTGGGGTGTGGAAGGGTTAGCATTCAATGTTTTGGATACGTTTGCTTGTTTTTTTTTGAGTCAGGATTTCACTGTGTACCTTTGGCTATCTTGGAACTCACTCTGTAGACCAGGCTGGCCTCAAACTCAGAAATCCGCCTGCCTCTGCCTCCCAAGTGCTGGGATTAAAGGCGTGCGCCACCAC